AAGTGTTAGCAAGTGAGTCAATGGACAAAAACAAAATTAGAAATGAGAAAAAGTGTTCATCTTGAGGAGGGAAAGATCAAAGAGGTGTTCAGATATATTGGTTTTACTGTAATTACAGATACAGACACAATTTTACTATATGTATGATTCACACTTGAGATGATAGTAAATGTGCCTGCAATTTCATTGATAAAACTGGTATGTCATATGCGCTATCATCTTATATCAATATGATTTTCTTTGAAATATCTATCCCATTGAAAACCAAGATGGGTGAAATGTAATAGAACAAACAGTTTTCATCTAGCAAAGGATATGAGAGGACGTTGACTGAAATAAGTCATAAGGACCCAGTATATTCCCTGATAGACCCCCATCTAAAGATACAGGCCCTTGTGACTCCCAACTACCCACCTCTTGGTGGAGAAGAAAGGGGGGGGGGTGCCTGAGACTTGAAGAAAGACCCGAATAAGGAGATATGTCAGCAAATATGAAACAGTCACAAGTGTAATGGCTTTCAGTCCACATCAAGCATTTGAAAAGTTAAAAGAATATTGAAGAAATGTCCCTTTCTCTCATTTTTATCTGTCTGTAGTATCTCATTTTAACAGAATACAAACATTTTTCTTATTTCTATATTACTTTGCTTTCATAAATAAACAGTACTAGTTTTTCTCAACAAATGTTTCTTTATCAAACTTGCAGAATTAATGATACTGTCAGAATATTTATGGCCAAACTGTTTATCTTTATTTAGCTGGTTGCTCTTGAGCACTCAATGAGTCACCATAGTGAACTACAGATTCTACAAATATACATACATAAATATTAAATTTAAATTTGTTCAATTCTAGACAAAGATATAGATGAAATCTATCTCCTACTTAAAAGTACTTATCACATCATATACAATATATGCAGTCATACAATATTATTAAATGGTACAAAAATGATGCAAAACATGATTAATTCCAGTTGAAAATGTGGCCGCGGCAAAATCATATACCGATTATACCATATAGCTTCATCTACAGTTCAGTAACATTATCAAAAAGAGAACATCTTGGTCTTTAAAGGTCAGTAGAATAAGTTGTGAAACGTATGAAAAAACAGAAACGGAAACTTGGCATTTCTAGAAAAAACTTGTTTGTAGCTAGCTGGAGGCAAGACGGCTCTTGAAAAAATATTAGCTCATGCATCTTATCTTAACCTGACATCATTATATAAACTTTCATCAGTCATTTTGCAGAATATGAGTAATATGGGATATTCTTATGTCAGGACTTTTGAAACATAGAATTATTTTGATATATTGATAGTTATACAATAGACTAGATGCGAGTAGAAAAAATCTTGATTTACGTCATTAAATATTCAAAATTCAGTCAAAGTGATGTCATATTTGAAATCTACATGTAAAAGTACATCTAGAAATATGGTTTCGAAAATTGTTTATCAACTTTGAAAATTTAATTTTTTTTGAAAATTTGACTTCTAGCTCGGGTTGATTCCCTATAGACCCCATGTTACAAAATCACAAAAAGTGAAATATCTTTTCTTGTATTGGACAGATAACATTTTCTTTTTGCTGGACATATTTTAATTCACATAACAATTAGATACATAAGGGTTATATGGAAATTGAACCACTAAAACAGATGTAATTTAAGTTAAAGGGAACTTTCTACTATACCCGCCATGCTATCTGACCCGAATGAGCCACCTGGTGGTGAAACTGGTAACTACTCACTCGCATCTGCGTTATTAACCATGTCTCATACAAATCAAAATGGAATTTTATCAGATGAGAGAAATGTTCAGAGAATACAGGTTTTACTGTTCTAACTTAAGGTAACAATTCACCCTATCAAATTTAAATTGAAATAATTGTGTTGTGTTGTAAAACGTAAACACAGGATGGCAATGGTTGAAAGTCAAGTACGCCAGCACATGTATTATGATCTCAGGCACCAAGAAGTGAATTGTTATAAGCCTGGTAGTTATCAAACTACTACCCTTCATAAGAGGTTGAATCTATCCATACTATTTGATAAAACATAGTTTTTACCCTACATGTGTGTCCATTTAGAAAATGTAGTCAGAATGAGGTAGCTTACAGAGGTAGCTTACGTTTATTTCACATTAAAACTCTAATAAAAGGTATTTAAACACATCATTTCAGCCATTTGAGATTATTTTGTCAGTATCAAAACTGAAAAGATTCTGTATTTCTCAGAGTATAATATGGTTAGCCAATACAGATACACTCAAGAGTACAAAATGGTGTTTGTCACTGTCAAAGTTACCTTCTGGCTATATAGTCTGTGGGGACTAAACAACAGTCTGGTGACTAGTTATACAGAGTGTCCCAAATATATAGGACTGGAGCTCCCTTTTGTTAATGCTACACTGATCATGTTCAAATTTTCACAGGATATCATGAATGATTGATTTTTTCAGTAATTCAAAGAAGGTTTACTCTTGTCTACAAAGACTTGACTCGATTAACTTATAATTAAGCTTACAGATTCAAGGAGATGTGACCTGATCAGGAAATATGGCCACATAGTCCAAGACTCCTCCATAGCTGCAGCAGTCTAAGTTGCATGGTTTTGACTCACATTTATATCAAGATTGACATTTCATTATAAATCTAGGGTTGTCCTTTAAATCACATTCTGATACTCATAGCATCTTTTTGTTTCACCTGAAACATCTCAGGGCTGAGAAGAAATGAGATGTCATGGTTTATTAAGATGTTTAAATCATATTATCTCAAATAATATTTCAGGACCTAAAAAAATGAGGTAGACTGCATCAGTGCATGTGTTTTTACATTAAGATGCTCAATTATCATTTGAAACTGATCACTGATCAATGTAGATGGAGAAGATACCTCAATATAGACTTCTGTTATTTTTGGGACACTGCAAAGTAAGCTTCAAATGGCCTTTGACTGACTCATATGTAAGAATCTAAGCCAATGCAAGAGCTGAAGAGAGAAAACAAAGTTTGAAGAGGCAATATATCATCATAATCCAAAATATATCCAAGGGAGTATAAATTTATGATTACAGTACTTTTACATAAAATATGGCATAAGTTTAGGTAAATCACTCTAATATGTCTTAACTTTGAATATGCTGTATAAATAATTGTTATAACCATGCATAATTGCAATAAAAATATTTTGCTTTTCAATCCCATTGACCTGGCTTAACCCTTTAGCAAATTGCTTTTGAAGGAGTTACCACTGTGAAGTGAGAAATTAAGTGGACATGATAGTGCACCTAAGACCTAGGGTAAATTTTAAATAATATTCCGTAAATTTATTCCAAAGTGTTTGTGCAGGTGAGAAGCTACTTTGTATTTAAGGATAATTAACTCAAAACACATTCAACTATATACAGTCAATTTTTGTAAGAATTGGGAAGTATTTAGTGGTAATAACAACAATTTGTTATTTTTTGAACAAATATTAGCCTGTCAATTTCCCCACCCTGGGACATGGGAAGTAAGTCAACCCTCCCCTTCCCTCATACCTTATATAAATTATTATTTATATTGTATAGAGGACTGAGAGGGGTGACTTGCTCCCGGCCCTGGTAGCTCTGTACAAAATTCCTATAACCTGGCATATACATTTTCAAAAATCCCTACTCCTGGGATGAACTACTTTGTCAAATTCCAACACCCTGGGATAGTTAGATAGACTACTGACATACTGTATGTCAAATTCCTGATCGGGATTCCTGACCCGCTCTTATCTCGTGCCAGGACTATAGTCCTGCATCAGCGGCGTAGCGTGGCAATTTTACTAGGGGACGCAAAATTCCAAAATTGGGATGGGGGGGGGGGTTTACCCGATACACATTCATTTCCACTTGAAATTTACTCATAAGTACTCATTATAAGTCTTGTAGAAATTCAAGCAAAAATATTTAATGTATCGTTAAGAATGAATGGAGAAATCTAGCTAATTTATTTAGGATCCAGGAAGTGCAATTTACGTTATCAAACAAGCGAAAAACGTACAAGTATGATGGAATAATTGATGATGTAGGCCTACTGTACAAAGTTCAAATATCGGTCAAAAAACTTGAGAAATTTAGAATTTCCAAATATTCAGATAAACATTGGATTGTTCCAGTGGACGCATTTGCGTACTTTGCGTAAACGACGCTACGCCACTGTGCATTGAGAGCATTCTTTTGCCTGTACGATTACAACATGGGAGAATTTTCTACGCTTCTTTACACTTAAGATACCTATTTCAATAGATTCCTTGGTATTTTAGCATTTTTTTCTTGTATTAGAATCCACAATTGTTTGGGTTTATCGACAGAACAAAGAAATTTTCGTTTTTAATCACAATATTTGCGTGTTATATTTATTTAACTTATTTCAACTGTCAAATTCCTCCATTTTTGGTGCTTCCGGGCCACTTCCGGGTCAGTCAAACGGGGAATCCCCTTTTAAATCCAACCGCCATCTTGGAAAGTGATGGAAATATCTCTCGATGAAAAAGAAAATGTTCCCGTTCTGCCGATATACCCAGACAATTGTGGATTCAACTCCACAATGAATGCTAAAATACCCAGGAATCAATTGAAGTAGGTATCTTAAGTGTAAGGGGCGTAGATAATTCTCCCAAGTTGTAATCGTACAGGCAAAAGAATGCTCTCAATGCAGGACTATAGATTAGTCCTGGTAGGGGTTAAACCCGCTCCATTGTCCTAGATCCGGCGGTTCTCATAAGGCGGTGCCATAGCTTCAATGCATGGGGTTACTTCGACACCTTGCTGCCCATTTGTCTTTAGTACCCAAATTCAGAAAGATCAGTTTGCCTAGCTCCGAAGAGTAAGATACTAAAGCTAGGCTAACTTTTAGGCTAAAAGTTGAAAATAGCCCACGATTTGTTGATTTGTCTTCTTTCAAATTTTTGACAATCGCTTGCATAAGGTTTACTGTGATTGTGCAATGTAAAGCATGATACTTACCAATAAAAATCAATTTTGTGTTGTCGTATCGTGCAGATAATCCATATAAAGGTCCCTCACCTAGCCACTATCTCTCGTATTCTTGCAAAATCGTCAACCGAGATCACATAAGCTTCTGCTAAAACCACTCCAAAATGAGGCTAATAAATTATTGATTTCGTTCTGTGCAGAGTTATAATTTTGCTCGGCCAAACTAACCAATCAAAACCTTTGTAACAAGATTGGACGAGCATGGGTTTGTTTTGATTTTATTTGACAGTTCTTCATATTTACATTTTCAAGGCATTTAGTTAGTTAATATACATAAAATAGGAGCTACTTGTAGTTTCAGTTGAGACATCGTTTTTCAGACATTGCTAGCGCTAGAAGTAGATTGGATAAGGTGAACACTATGATCATGTTGAATAAGAAATGGTTTTGGTAATTTGGAATTCATCAAGGAGGATTGGATCCCAGAATGCAATCTCGATATATTCTTAAACTCCAAATAGTTTGTTCAGTCCCTGATGTGCATGCATATTTCTACGGCTGCAAGGAGAATGCCTGATATTATCATAGGCCAATGGAAAAGAAATAGTAAGCTGTACAGTTGGGGACAAAAATAAATGACAGGTCGATTTTCGATCACCATTTCCTAATTATGGTGGTCTGAAAGCCCATAATTTCCAATATTGTCTAGATACATATCCCTTAAAATTTGTATATTTTACATTTTGTATAATCTCATCCACTGATTTATGGCCTCTTGTAAATTCTCTTATTTTTAACATGGGAAATCCTCACTTCAGCAAATCCACCTGTCATTTATTTATGTCCCCAACTGTATATCTTCTATATACGGCTTACTATATTACTTTACCCTTGGCCTATGGATATTATTGATTTTGAATTTTGTTTTCACAACATGACGAGACCCTATCTGTTGCAAGACTAACGCCTGGCGTAACCGTCACCATGTTATTCAGTGTTTTTTAAGTAGCGCAAGGATCCTGCCATGACCGTGGTAATGTTATCGTGAAAGCCTGGTATAACCGCGACAATGCTGTATTATATTAAAATGCCTGCTATGACCGTTGTAGTGTAATCGTGTAAGCCTGTCGCGACCGTAACCTTTATATGACATTAATGACCTTTATGTTCGCCCATTGCTGTTTGTATTTTTATGGATAAATCTTATTTATTGATCATTATAGAAAGTATATGCTTTCGAATCGAAGCTCCTTGAATGAGAGTAGAGATATAGTTTGTTAGCAAATTATTTATGAGTAAAAATTAGGTTTTCGTTGTGAAATTAATACACATTTTTAGTAGTCTTTATTTACATCTTTAAGGTAGTTAAACACGAAGAAAAATTGTCATTACGGTGTTCTCATGCTACTTTAAATACAACCACGGTCATGAGAGGCCTTGCAACTATTGTCACGGTCATATCAGGCTTTAACCTTACCACGGTCATGACAGGCTTTAACCTTACCACGGTCATGACAGGCTTTAACATTCTGACGGTCATGACAGGCCTTTCAATCATTATGACGGTCATATAACATATACGGCATTATAACATACCTATGATGATGTGTAGTGCAAAGTGTACACAAGACAGCGGGCCAATATAAGTTTTGAAAAGCCCGCGCCCGCTAACTTTCTGATTGGTCAAGGCGCTGACGTCATAACCAATCAATCGAAGATAAAACTGCGCGAGCAATTTTTCTTAACTCATTTCAATCATTTTCAAACCATTTGTTTGTCAATTCTATAAGAAAACGGTACTCTCTGACCAGTCTACATCGTCATAGATATGTTATAAATCGTTTATGTCACTATCGTGGCACATATGCCCTCGGTTCTCAGAGATCAATGTCCCTCCCAAGGTCGGGCCATATATCACTGACACCTCGGGCATATATGCCACGATAGTGACATAACCTCTAAATATAACATAACATTGTCACGGTCATGGCAGGCTTTACAAGCATTGTCACGGTCATGACAGGCCTTGCAATATAATATAGCATTACCACGGTCACGACAGGCCTTGCAATATAATATAGCATTGTCACGGTCATGACAGGCCTTGCAAGCATTGTCACGGTCATACGGGGCTTTAACATTACCACGGTCATGACAGGCCTTGCAATACAATACAGCGTTGTCACGGTTATACCAGGCTTACAAAATAACACTGCCACGGTCATGGCAGGATCCTTGCGCTACTTAAAAAACACCAAAACACATGGTGACGGTTACACCAGGCGTTAGTCTTGCAATAGATAGCATGTGAACATGACTGCGTGATACCCATATATGGAAGAATATCGAGTTGCGTCCCTGGGTACCATGAAATCCTTTTTTGTATCCATTTTGAGTTTTGACTTTGAGAGTAGTCTTCAACATACCACTGCAGCTCAGGGGGGGGGAGATTTCCCAAAGATGACCTATCATATTATTAGCACGTTCGAAAACAAATTTTATAAACAGGCCTCAATTTGCCGTTGAAATGAATCTCCAAATGTTCACTGTAGTTTTATGAGTATTCTCTACAAGTATGGATCGAGTAACTTCAATAGTATTACCGTAGGTTTGAAATGATGATGATGAACTGCTGTTAAGGTTCAGCTGGAAAGTAACATTTTGGTAAAAAATTGCTATACCTGCACATGTTATTTTCTGGTACAAAATTAAGTATGAAGGCATGTGTGTATTTCCTTGCTTTTTTCAGGAAAGTATAATTACACTGTCTACTTTTAGTAAACCTGGAAATAGGTCAATGGTAGCTCCTGTGTTTTCTGGAAACTTTGAAAGAAAATTTGGAAAAAAAGAAATTGTGAAATATCAGAATTTCCTGGAGTTCCCATTGAACTCATACTAGATACTCTTAAAGAAGACAGTGTAATGATACTTTCCTGAAAAAAGCAAGGCAATTGACACATGTCTTCATACTTTATTTTGTACCAGAAAATAACATGTGCTGGTATAGCAATTTTTTACCAAAATGTTACTTTCCAGCTGTACCTTAACGCCATTCCCACGATTTCAAATTTAACTCTGCGCATGCGCAGCACTGAGAGATCACATGCTCATGATTGTTCACGTGATCAAATCCTGTAATTTGATTGGAGATGATGCAAGAAATGATGTAATGAGGAATCCCGGAATACGATAGAATATGAAAGAATTATGGGAGCTACTCACTCCTCCTGACTGCAGCTGGCAAATCTTTCACTGTAAGCATGGCAACTTCACATAGACAGTTGATGTCATTAGTTCTTGTTTCATGAATTGTGCCACGTGATTGTAAAATTGAGATAATTTGATTGATTGGATTTGTGCGTATTAGGTTATTCTTTCCAAGCAACATTTTTGAAAAAATTCCTTTACTTGCACATGTTGTTTTCTGGTACAAAATAAAGTATGTGTATGTGTATGAGTGTGTATTTCCTTGTTTTGTTCAGGAAAGTATCCTTGCAATGTCTTCTTTTAGTAAACCTGGTAACAGGTCAATGGAAACTCCAGGAAATGCTGATATTTCAAGAAAAATCATTCAAAATGGCCGCCTTTTCAATTTTCCAAATTTATTCTCCAAGTTTCTCAATAACACTGGATTTCGATTGACCACCTACGAGGCTTACTTAGAGAAGACAATGTAGTGATACTTTCCTGAAAAAAGCAAGGAAATACACACATGCCTTCATACTTTATTATAGCATTTTTTTCAAAAATGTTGTTTGAAAAGAATGGCCTTAAGGTACAGCTGGAAAGTAACATTTTGGTAAAAAAATTGCTATACCAGCACATGTTATTTTCTGGTACAAAATAAAGTATGAAGGCATGTGTCAATTCCCTTGCTTTTTTCAGGAAAGAATCATTACATTGTTTTCTTTTAGAATATCTGGTAGGCATTCAATCGGAACTCCAGGAAATTCTGATATTTCACACTCTCTATTTTTCCAAATTTTCTTTCAAAGTTTCCAGACAACACAGGAGCTACCATTGACCTACTTCCAGATATTCTAAAAGAAGACAGTGTAATGATACTTTCCTGAAAAAAGCAAGAAAATACACACATGCCTTCATACTTAATTTTGTACCAGAAAATAACATGTGCAGGTATAGCAATTTGGACTCTAAATGAGTTGTCCAAGGGATGAATTGTCCAGGACTTGAGTTGTCTAGGGTTTGAGTTGTCCAGAGGTTGAGTTGTCCAGGGATGAGTTATCTTAGGGTTGAGTTGTCTTGGGGTCGACTTGTTGAGGGGTTGAGTTATCTTGGGGTTGAGTTGTCCAGGGGTTGAGTTATCTTAGGGTTGAGTTGTCTTGGGGTCGACTTGTTGAGGGGTTGAGTTATCTTGGGGTTGAGTTGTCCAGGGGTTGAGTTATCTTAGGGTTGAGTTGTCTAGGGGTCGACTTGTTGAGGGGTTGAGTTATCTTGGGGTTGAGTTGTCCAGGGGTTGAGTTGGCCAGAGGTTTATTAAGGATGTCAAGGCATTGAGTTGTCCAGGCGTTGAGTTGTCCAGGTGTTGAGTCATCCAGAGAGTGTCTAGGGGTTGAGTTGTCCAGGGGTTGAATTATCCAGGAATGAATTGTCTTTGGGTTGAGTTGTCCACTTACAACGATTATGCCATCTATGTTATGTCTGTAACAACTTCCTGTCCTAAATATTGATACTGTTGTATAGATTTACTTCAGATCTTAATAGAAAGATGGCGCTAAAAATAACTTTCATCCAACAAATTATTTGACAGGCATACCATTGCATTATTCAAACTTTTTTTACAAAATAAAAAAATGGTTATGGGTGAGCCAAAATTTTCAAAAATATGGTTAATTAAAAAATACGTAGGGCTTTGAAAAGTGAGAAAAAGGTGTTTTATCTTGTTGCTCCTAAGACCAGAGTAGATCTTCAAGGAACTCTGGCAAAAGGACAGGAGAATCTGGGAAAACATTGGGTTGTAAATCAGGAGTTGACAGATATGTGAAACTTTAACGTTGGAAAAAATATACTGAAAAGATCAAAGGATGTTCTTCTTATCCTACCCTTAGTGTACTTGATTTATAAAAATGTATAAAATCAACAAGCAGAATATCTTCACAATATCCTCTGCATTTTGGTTTTCCTTGAGTGTATCATGGCAATAT